AAACATAATTTACTTTAATAATATCATGATAGATCTTGGATGTTCAAAGTAAATACAGCTTGTAGCCATTCATATTTATACATTTCACTGAAATGAATTTATCACATTATTGTTCATCAAATTAAATGGTGCATTAAGTAATTTGAAACATTAAATAATAATTCATTTTTTAAAAACATATTCCATGATCACTAATGTCTTATTTTAGCATTTTAATTGGGAATTACTGCCTCCTTTTAACATAAAGCTATTTTGTTGTGCTGTTAGTTACAAAACTAGCACTAAAAAATTAATTATTTGTATTTTTCTTCTTCTTTCCTGGATATTCTTGTCTTCTCTTTCTATAACGATGACTACCTCCTCCCTCACTGCGACCGGTAAAGCTGGGCATCGGTGGCTCAATCTCTCCTGGACGTCCCCCTCTGTCTGGCACACTGCCCATCAGTACCTGCAGAAACAAATGTTGTGTACAAATCCATTTTTTTATATTTTCTTATGCACATTGCAACACTGAATTTAATGCATTCAACCCTGGAGAAAAAAAAGCGAATTATAGTAACAAAACTTAGGTGAAGGGCACCTTGTGAACAGCTGTTGAAGGCCCTGCTTTAACAGGCCTAATGCGAGACTCATCCTCTCTGGCCGCCAACAGCGTAGCAATGGAGACGGAGGACTCGCGAGAAGGTGTGAAGGTTTTCATGGAAGAAAGTAAAGCACTGCGTTCCTTGAAAGAAAATGGGGAGAATTTGCTCAGTGAAACATATTACAATACATGCTTGAAGATTTGGAACGGTGACAATCTTTATACCTTTCCCCTCTCTCCCCAAGTACAGGATTGTAGTGTGACATGGAAACGCTTGATCATCATTTGGCGCCGGCATTCATAATCCTTACAGAGAGCACCGTTGATGTCATTAATCGTTTTCTAAGAAAAAAAATTAATGTGAAAATATTTGTTCAGGGACAGAGCTCTAAAAAAGGTCAATGTGACTCTGTAATACATAATAGAACAAAAAGACAGCATACTGCTACAATGCTCTCAAACGCTATTTAAATAGTAGACAAACAATATTTTGGCCCTTTTGCTGTTTGTCAGGTAGTCAAAAAAATTACAACTTGAACATCTTTAGAAGAATCCAAAATGTAGTTGAGTTTTCATCAGAAAAGATTTGGAGAAGTTTGGCATTACATCATTTGCACACCAGTGGATCCTCTGTAGTAAATAGGTGCCGTCAGATTGAGAGCCCAAACAGCTGATAAAAACATCACAATAATCCACAAGTAATCCACACAACTCCAGTCCTTCAATTAATGTCTTCTGAAGCAAAAAAGCTGTGTTTTTGTGATAAACAAACCTATCATTAAGATATTAACTTCAATCCTTTGCTAATGGCTAAAATAGAGTAAAAAAGCCATCTCATCTGAATCAAAAGAGAAATATGCACAGATCAATTACTATTTACAGGTGAAAACTGTTCTAAACAAATATTTTGGTGGATTGTGATGTAAGAGGACAACAGGGGACTTTTTCACTGTATGAAGTATTATTATGGACTGGTATTTAAGGCGGAAGCAATGGTTCAAAATTAAAATGCCTTAATGATGGATTTATTTCTTACAAACACAGCGTTTCACGTCACAAGATGTTAATTGAAGTGAATTGTGGATTATTGTGATGTTTTTAATCAGCTGTTTGGACACTCATTCTGACGGCACCCATTCACTGCAGACGATCCATTGGTGAGCAAGTGATTTAAGGCTACATTTCTCAAAAACCATTCCAATGAAAAAACAAAGTCATCTACATCTTGAATGGCCTAAGTGTGAGTAAAGTTTTAGCAAATGTTCACTTTTGGGTGAACTATACATACACACATCTGAGTAGGTATAAACAACAAACAATACAAATAATGAATCAATATAAATCAACAATTTCTGGTCATGCTCCTGCTCCAAAGTTTTTTTGTCTGTTTGGTTTTTTTTCAGATGTGCACATACCATTTCACTTGAATACATACCCATTGCTCAGAGTTCAGACTGGTCTTCAATAATGCTTCTGGCACTTCACCTTCTGGAAGTGATGTCAGCCGTGTCTCCACCTGAATAAATGACGCATATGCTAGAGATCACCAAAAAATGTAAAATCTCTAGTAATAATTACTAGACATTCACTGGTGATGTTTCTTACCTCTGCACAGGCATCACTCATCTGAGAGGATGTTTCTAAGCCAAGAGTCTGAAACAGTTTTGCAAGATCTTTATTTACTTCTTTCCAATTAGTTTTATCCTCTTGTGCTGAACTGATTTCCTGATGCTCGTCTTTATTGCCCATATTAAGACTTTCCCATTTTCTTTGCTCTTTGCCCTTTGACTCACAACTCTGTTCTGTATCTTCTGGATGACTCTCTCTGTATGTCAGCATACGTGCTGTCGCCAACTCTGACACCAAAAACTCTGTCAATTGAAAGGTAATATGTACAGTAGCTCTTCACAGAAAATCCTAAAAATGCACAGATTGAAATCCTCTATCACCTCCCTACCTTACCAGTCACTCTGAACAGCAGAAGTGGGCTAAGGTGCTCTGATGTAAGTGCATTTTGAGGACAGGACATCTCCTTCAGCACTTCCCTCAACTCCCCGACCAGAACTGCACCACCAACATGCCGTGCTGAAGCACAGTTACATTTTATCCATTATGCAACACAATGCAAAAAAAAAAAAAAAGGATGGTTGAAGTAAAGTTATGCAAAATGTTGTCTTATTGGCAGGATTGTTTTTTTTTGCATTAGGTTTAATTCTAGGCCTGCTGTTAGCACGCAGGCCTAGAATTAAACCTAAATATAAGTAATTGTTATTCGATTTCAAATTCTATTAATTCAAAGAATTTATTTATTTAAATTATTATTAATGATGATTTAAATATGATACATTGAAATCCCTTATTCACTCATAACATATTAGTAAAAAAAAAGAGATGTTAATTCGTTAGTGAATTTAGGAGTGTGTAGGACAGCTCTCGGTTGGGTTACCTGAAATATTAGGACAACTTTCTCTTAGTTCTGAGACCAACCAGGAGAGCAGCGGGCAAGGTAATTCGTCACATTTACATTCCTTCAAGCACTCTCCGCTTTTATACCTGAAATATATCAAAACAGCTGTGCGTGAAATTATCTTGACATAAACAGAACAACGTTTTACACTGTTGTTTATTTCAGCGTTACTCACCCAAGAGCTTTAATGAAAGCGATTATACCAGTGTCTCGCTCCATTGTAAACAGTACACAGGTTGTGTCGTGAGTTCTTCACTTCCTGTTTCACTGTCTGTGGCTGTAAACAGAAGTCGAGTGAAAGTCACGCTCTGCCGATAACCGACTGCAAGACAAGATTCATCGATCACAACTGCTCGAAACAATTCAATCGTCCTAATCAGCGAATGCACAGATTCCTTTTGTTCTAAACTAATCAGATAATGCACAAATATTGCACTTTAAGACTTATTAAGGTTTTAACGCATTGATCTATCAGTGGCCTGACTGTTTTATCCTTTGCTTGCAAATGAATACCTACTACTAAAATAAAATATACAATAGATACAAGTAGATAAGTAATAAGTCATTACACATTTAAATATGTGTGACAAAAATGAAATCTTTTTTTATTTTTGTATTGGCATTTATATTCCAGTTTATAATTGAAAAAGTATAGAGTGGATATATTGAGTAATACTAATTATTAATAGTTTTGTTTATTTGGGAAGAAAGTGTTATGGTTCTTTTAACTGGGACAAAAACTTTATTTGATAATATTTTTGATGATCAATTTATATTTGATAATATCCATCTTTATTTGACCCTCTAACTCTAACACTTTCTATTCTAATATAATTCTACTTTATCTATTTATCTTCTTTTTATTAAAAAAACGAACACTAGCTTTCTATCTTTTCTATTCTATCTACTTGTTTTTCTTTTTGTTTGTGTGTGTGTGTGGATATATATATATATATATACACCTTGCTATGTGTACTGTGTTAGGCTAACCGAGACTTGTCATTTGCACTTATATATTGTTGCTCTTTTATTAGTTTTGACTGCTTTTATTGTCCTCATTTGTAAGTCGCTTTGGATAAAAGCGTCTGCTAAATGACTAAATGTAAATGTAAAACATAATATATTTAATTCAACTTTTTATTTTTGTTGAACAAATTTGATCTATGCACCTTTTCTAACCAGAAACCTATTCTCTGCCTGTACTCTGTGAATTACAGCAGCACTTTAAATCTCTTGGAATAATAACAAAGATATGATTTGTTGTATTTGACACGTTTACGTTGTTTTTATATGAACATTAGAAAGGCTGCGTATGACGAATATGATTGGCTGCGGCGGGTCATACAGACAGCAGCTTTAGCCAATCAGCTGCAGGGACCGAGAGCGCCCGCTCAGAGCGTCGTGAGGCGGAGGAAGTGGGCAACCACGGTCACCCTCCATCTTCGATACCTTCGTAACGACAGTTTGCTTGAGGGAGAAACTGACAGAAAAAGGTAAATATTGTGTTTTCTGCGCATACGAGGTAGTATGTATGTTCAGTTAGTGACTTAAAATGATATTTGATTCATTTAGAGTATGCATGTGAGGCGTGTGGATTTTGCGCGCAAATTACATGACTCCATAGTTCGCTGCTATGCTAAGTGTGCAGACAGCGGATACAATGAAACATGACAAAAGATTGTTTTGACACTTAAACGAATGGATTTTGATCTATGCATGTTGTTGCATTTGATGTACTAAAGCCTAAATACCCCTCCAAAAGAAGTGAAGTTGTTTTTTAGCTGCAAAGACCTCGGCCTCTGTTATCCTGTTAGCACGCAGGCTAATATCTTAGCGAGTGTGAAGATGATCCGCCGAGCGCGTACAGTAACCAATCAATGCATCGCGTGTGTTTACTCTGACTGTACAGGCGCACAGTTTGGAATAAACTGCTGAAGGGGTGCATGAATCATGAGCGGGCTGAATGTCAAAAAGCTCAAAGTCAATGAGCTGAAGGAAGAGCTCCAGCGGCGAGGCCTGGACACCCGCGGGCTGAAGGCGGATCTGGCGGACCGATTGCAGGCGGCGCTGAAGGCCGAGGCGGCGGGGTCTGCGCCATCGGACGAGCAGGATCAAGACTATGAGGCTGGCGGGGAGCCGGGAGAGGGCAATGATTATCAGGAGGAAGGTAATGCGTGTTTTCATATGTTTTGTCTTGGCTGTATTCTGAAGCTGCAATGCAGGCTGTGTTGTTGCGAATGGAGAGGTGCTTCACAGAGATTAGGAGAGTCGTCTGGCAACGTGTTAAACCACCATAGGGGGACCCCTTCTGATGCAGGAAATACAAGAAGGGGCATCTAAAACCTGCTTGCATTGTCGTGGAAAACTCAACATTTTTAATGAATCTGGTAGCATAAAAATATTTCAGTAAGACATTATTAGATACTTAAAAGTCATGGATATTTTGTTGAAATTTCTTTCGTGTGAATTATCTTAAAATGATTTAATAATACTTAAAATCGTTTTTGAGCACTTTCAAATGACTGAAAAATTAGCTGAAGACAATTTTGCAACAAAAACATTGAGAGAGATTTTTAGTGATGCTTAGCTTCAAAATATATTTTTAGTAAATGCTTTGCTCAGTATTTTTATACTTGTTATTAACACTAACCTCGCACTAACACTAAACCCAATTTTACATTGTATATTAAGTATATGTATATAAATAAAGTACATGTTAGTTATTTTTCAGTAATTACACTGTAATAAGCACACCATAAAATAAAGTGAAACTACTGCAACATTGACATTAATGTAGAAAAAAGCCATTTGAGATTTCCAGGCATGGGAAAACTAATAAAAAAAAATTTGAAAAATAAAATAACTTGTGAAATAGAAAAGAAATAAAACCTTGATTAAACTAGTTATACTCAGCTTTACTTTGCTTTTTGTTGTTGTTGTTTTGGAGTTGCTCTTTGTTATCTTTAAAAAATTGTAATAAATAAAGTAAAATACACACACACACTAGGGGTGTGCGATAATATCGTAATTGTTGTTTTAACGATGTGCAATTTGACATTATCGAGTATTTTGCAAAAACCATTCAAAACATCCCTACAGAGCGCACGCATACATTACGTGAAGTCTAGACTAGTGCGTGTGCACATTTAGTGTGTTTTCTTTCACTGCATGATTCAGTCTATTAAAATGCGTTTAGAATGATCACAAATTCAAGACATGATGGTAGAAAATGTATATATTTATACCACTTCATATAGTTATTCAATTTCACACGAAGAGTGCTGTTTTTCTCCAAAAATTACCATGATTACAAATGTGACATTGAATTCAATAAACAATAAGTTAATTAAGAGACGTTTTAGACACCATATTGCATGTTTTTGCTCTATTTCGCCAACAAAAATCATTCCGAATACAGCCACAGGGCTGTTTTGGGTCTCTGAGCAACATGACAGTGTTTCGTTCTTGAATGAATCAACCGTTTAAATGATTCGGTTCAATCGCAATGACTCACTTATAACACTGATTTGCTGCCACCTGCTGGCGGTTTTAATTTCAAATTTCAAAATACATGTGTGTAAATACATCTAAATGCCACTTCAGCTGCAGCTTCTGTGTTGAGTTATGTTCATATTATGTTTAGGCATATTACATTATGTATTTTAACAGTGTTGTTCAATACAATCATGTAATTTCTTAGTTTTGATATTTTATTTGAGCCAATTATTATTGCCTCATCGTTAGTTTATATATAAATAGTCATACTAAAGCCTGGTTTTCACTTGGGTCTGTTTGTTACTAAAAAATATCAGATTACTCGGTTGTCAAAATAATCAGTAGATTACTTGATTACCAAAATAATCATTAGTTACAGCCCTAGATTAGTTAAAATATTTCTAAATACAACTGCATTGTTTTACTTTTTGTAATTAAAAGACATATGTTGTCATGGGAAATTTCTTAAAAATTATTAAAATATTGTCACGTTTTAGTGAACCAAGTATCTGTATTTTGTCTCATCTCGTGAGCTAAGTGTATTGTCACACCCCTAGTGTCGATAAGCACTGATATAGCTCATAATTTTCCAAGTGTATGATACAGCTTTCATTCTTCAGGTCAACCATATATTCATGAAAAAAAAGTCTGTTTGAATAAAGAAAGCAATAACTTTGCCATAGTATCCTTACAAATGTTAAAGTTGCTACAGTCATTGCATGCTTTGCATGTGCTGCCCCACCCACGGAAAAAAATTCAAGCTCAGGATTTTTTTTTGCTTTAACCCCTGATCTTAATTTGTGTTCCGAAGATGAATGAAGTTCTTACAGGTTTGGAACGACATGAGGATGAGTAATTAATGACATAATTTAAATTTTTGGGTGAACTATCCCTTTATAAAACACACGTGACTTGACCGTAGAGCAAGCCATGTGGGTCTACGATTTAGTTTGAAACACTTAAAGGGGTCATATGATGCTTTTTTAAAGATCATTATTTTGTGTATTTGGTGTAACAGAATATGCTGACATGCTTTAATGTTCAAAAAACACATTATTTTTCAAATACTGTACATTATTGTAGGTCCTCTATGCCCCGCCTCTCTCAAACGCTTCGTTTTCTACAAAGTCCCTCCTTCCGACAAGCGCAGTCTGCTCTGATTGGCCAGCTGACCCAGTGCATTGTGATTGGCCGAACACCGCAAGCACTCGTCGGAAATGTAACGCCCCTTACCATAATCGCACGTCTCATGTTTAAGACAGCTTGGATTGTGCACTTATCTGGCATCAGCTCACTCTGTGTCTATCATTATTTTTCAGATGTGTTCAGAACATCAAAGTACATCAAATTAAACAATATTGTCTCATCCTAGGCTGGAATTCACATACATGTCAAGCCGAAAGTCCTGTACCAAAATATTTCCATTTCACCCCAATTTGGAGTGATTTCATACCACACAGCATGTTCACAGTGTTTGTGTGAAACACTGAATTGAACAGACAGAGAGCAGAATGAAGATGTTTGAGGTTCAGGATGTCTATGATGTAATCAAATTAGTGGAATATTAAACATAAATCCACAATAGAAATATATTCACATCTTTATTGCGTTAACTGTTATATTGTTAATGTATAACTAGAGGTTACCTACATCATTACAGAAAAACATCATGTGATTATCTTGGAAAATCCTATGATGATCAAGGAAATATCTCTTTAGTAAACAAATTAGGCCAACTAATATGATTCATAATCTTTTTTTACCCAGTATGTAAAAATAAATAAATGCAATGAAAATGTATGTAACACCAAGTACTAAAAATGAAAGTATCTGTACAATACTTGGTCTGGAAAAAAGTGATTCAGAGCCTCCTTAATTTTCAGGATTCCTGGTCTCAAAATGAAGGAATAGTTTGTTCATTGTAAATGTGCTTGATAGTGTTATATTCGCATTATAGAATGGCTTCTTATTTGTTTGTCTCTAGATAACTGTGACCTGCACTTCAAGGTGGCTCGTGACAGAAACAGTGGTTACCCTCTGACCATTGAGGGTTTTGCCTACCTGTGGGCAGGTGCTCGAGCCACTTACGGTGTTACCAAAGGACGTGTGTGCTTTGAAATGAAGGTAACAAAGATGCTATTTAGTGTTTGAAGCCATGTTTGAGTGCCTGAGATAGGTCACAAAGATCTTTATTGTCCTGTTCCTTGTTTAGATAAATGAGGAAATTTCAGTAAAGCACCTTCCTTCGTCTGAGCCTGACCCTCATGTGGTGAGAATCGGATGGTCCCTGGATTCTTGCAACACTCAACTCGGTAAATGACCAGACTTACAATAACCTTGCTTCAAAGCATTTCTAACACCTGATGCAATTTTCTTTAGTAAGATTAATCAAAATGCTGGATAGATTTAGCTGGAAAGGTTTTTTTTTTTACATTTTTTTATGCTGCATTATCATTTATGTTCCTTCATGTTACAGGTGAAGAACCCTTCTCTTTTGGCTATGGAGGAACTGGCAAGAAATCCTCCAACTGTAAATTTGAAGACTATGGGGAAAAGTTCAGTGAAAATGACATCATTGGCTGCTATATTGTAATTATACTTTTCTCTCATACTTCTAGATTAGATTACACATAATGCAGCTTAATATGGGCTCAGAGACTATTATTAACCATATCTCTTTTCTTTTTTTCCACTTGGATTGTTTTCCATAGGACTTTGAAAGCAGTGAGGAAGTAGAAATGGCATTCTCCAAGAATGGCAAGGCGCTGGGCCCATGTTTCCATGTCTCTCGAGAGGAACTGGCCGACCGTGCTCTTTTCCCACATGTATTGGTGAAGAACTGTGCCGTGGAATTCAACTTCGGACAGAGAGAGGAGCCCTTTTTCCCTCAGCCAGAGGGCTTCACCTTCATTCAGGATATTCATCTAGAGGAGCGAGTCAGAGGAACACTGGGACCTGCTACTAAAGCTGATTGCGAGGTTTGATGTGTAAATTAACTTTTAAGAAAAATAATAGTGTACTGCAGTCTAATCAAAAATGATTTTATAATGAAAGAGAATTGTGTTTTTAAATTTTCAGCTGTGGATGAAATGTGTGCATCTATAATGTAATTCCATGGAGACTAATAATTTTAGCATTTGTTGGAAAGTTATGCCATTATTTGATGTCTTTAAAATTGTCTACCTTATTGTAATGTGCCAAATGACTATAAATAAACTGGACAATTAATTAATTATTTTCAACAAAACCTCATCTGTGTGAATCAGCTATGTGATTATAGCATTATAACTAGGGATGCACGATATATCGGCCACCATATCGGTATCGGCCGATAAATGCTAATTTTTTCTGTTATCGGTATCGGCCTGATAAGAAAATTTGGCCGATATCTTAAAGCCGATAAATAATGCATTATTTCTTTCAGAGACACTTCAGACGTGCGCTGTTCGTTTGCAGGCTTTTGTGCAATTGTACGTTGTAATATTGTGTTTATTTGATGTATATCTGATTTATCTCATATAGAATGCGTTTGGTTAAGTTAAAAGAGCGCTTCAGTTTACCGGTGATCATCTTTAGCTCAGCGCACGCAGCTCAAACAGCAGTGCACAACATTAATAACTATGATTGGGAATGCTGTGTATATAACATTCTAATGAGAACATTATTATAATAAAACGTTGTGCATTCTTTGGGTTTAGTTGCTGTGTTTCAGCGCGTTGTTATGGGAAGAGCGCATCCACAACAGGATCACACATTCTGACTATAGCACGCAATAACTGCATCATTTTGTACATATATAAGTTGTAATATTATGTTTATGTTGTATTAATATTAATCTCAGGATGCATTTCCTTAAGTTAAATAAGCTGCCAGCAAAACGCTTCAGTTTACCATGTTCATTCAGCTCTTCAGCTTCAGCACGCGCAGCTCAACGGCTGCTATTTAAAACAGTGGTATTAATTTGTTACTTTTTCAAAATCATTGATACATTATTAATAACAACCACCACTTGTATTTTTCTCTTATTATTTTCATCAACAATATGGTTTAGTAATTAAAATCATTTAATTATTGTCTGTGCAGAGGCTATTCCATTTTATTGATCTGTGGCGCATTCATTTTGATTCTTTACACGTGTAATGATGTCCAATGACTTGTTTGCATTATTTATGCATTATTTTATTTATTTGTAAGACTTTTTTATGACTAAATTTGGTAATGGGAGAGTAAAAATATTTTTAAAACGTACACCGTTCAAACTAGGCTGCTTATGTTGAAGTGTTTGGGATGTGGCTTTTAATGATGAGACCTTTTTTGTAATCAGGCTCTCAAAAAGTATATAACAATTTGGATATAGATTTATCGGCCAACATATCGGTTATCGGCTTTCAAATACAAAGAATAATCGGTTATCGGTATCGGCCAAAATGTTCATATCGGTGCATCCCTAATTATAACGTTTAATACATAACAGTAAAGCAAATGTTTACATTTAAAAGACATGTACGTGAGCAGTGGAAAGAAGATATTGGTGAAACCTAGCTTGTAAAATGTTGACTCCCATGTTTTCTTTCTCTTCTTTAGATCCTGATGATGGTTGGTCTGCCTGGTAGTGGAAAAACCACCTGGGCCATAAAACATGCTGAAGAAAACCCTGACAAGAAGTACAACATCCTGGGCACGAATGCTATCATGGAGAAGATGAAGGTATGCCTGCTGAATATAATCTCTGTTATTATGGCAGCTGTGCATAGTAAAGCCCTCTAGGAAAGTCCTCTTTAAAGTCCATGTGAACTGGAAGTATCTAGCAACGTTGCTTCAGTAATATTGGAATATTGAATAGAGAGTATTCTGTTACGCTTTCATTTTAGCACACCTCCTCAGCATCCCTCGCTCACAGCAAACTATGGGTTGGTTTAGGATAGTGGGTAAGGATATTCTCCCCCCAAAAAAGGATATTCGATCTTTTTTTTCTTCCCCCCTGTGTGTTAACTTGTACAGATTAATTATTTACCTTAAGATTAGCAATGTGAGCTAATAAAGTAAATAGTGTCAATCTTTAAAGAACCACCGCTACAGCCATACACATTTAGACAGACGTCTAGGCAATGAATGGGAAACTCTAGCCCTTGAGATCCACTGTCCTTTGAAATGTAACTTCTACCTAATCAAACACACCCGCCTGTACTTTTCTAATAATCCTCCAGACCTTGATTAGCTGGTTTTAACATGGTCTGCAGGACTGCGGAACTCAAGAGCCAAAGTCGCCCACCCCTGGTTAAGACCAATAACTCATCTAGTTGTTCAGGCCATCCACCAATGAATCGTTTTGAAAATACGTAGTTATTCCAATCAAAGTCTATACACTAAAGTTTATTGCTCTGTTTCCATCAGGTCATGGGACTTCGTCGTCAGCGCAACTATGCCGGACGCTGGGACCTACTTATTCAGCAGGCCACGCAGTGTCTCAACAGGCTCATCCAGATTGCTGCCCGCAAGAAGCGCAACTACATCCTGGATCAGGTACTGCTGTACTTGCCTTCCTTTGCGCTGTCCTCACAGCTAAAACCCTTCCCCTTCCTTCTCAGCCCCCCCCCCCCCCCCAAAAAAAAACACATCCACTGCTGCTCACTGATGCACGTTCATTAATGCACTTCTGTTCTCTCTGTAGCCTAGTCCAAAGTATTGGTTAGTCTATTGTGCTTGTGAAGACTTGTTTTTTCCAGTCCTTTTTCTTTGTCCTGAACATGTTGCTGAATTATGATTTGTTTTGTTTTGCTTAAACGTAAAAAAAATCGATCAAGGAAAGAATGCAGTATAGTATGTTGCTATGAATATTTTTGACTATGTATTGCCTTGTTGTAAAGAGATCTTTGCCACACTGTACAAGTAGTCCATGACATTAGTAAGATGTTGAAAAACAAGTAATCACTGCCTGGTGAGTAAGAAAACGCCTTCTGTTGCTATGGTAACTGTAAAGAAAACAAGATAACTTTTCATTAGATAAACTTGGAACTTTACTTGAATGTTGTGTTTAAAAATGAATGGCAGGTAAGTGGAAAAACTAACCTGCTTGAAGTTTACAGGTGGACAGTTCCAGAGGTCGCAAGGTAGGTAAGGTCAAAGGACATGCTAATGGATCCTAAGGAGTCCGTGAGTATGAACAGGTAGGTACTAAATGTTTGTCCGTGTCGGGCACGCTGGCCTTTTGAACAATGGGTAAGTGAAGGTAAGGAAGGGGACCCAGGCAGTGCATGAGATTGAAATACAGAAGAGTGAGGATTTTTTACATTCTTCAGAAGTTTCAGATAAGTTTTATGAAGTCAGGACAATATGTACCAGCAGATAATGTGTTAAAATCTTACTCACTGATTTTTGGAAGTGATTGATGCAAATACATTTTGAGCATGACCAACAGTTTAGTTAGTTTGAGAGAAAACACTTCCAGTATTAAGCTGTCATATTAGAATTTAATTTCATGTAATTTCTTGTAACTTGGATCTTTTATAGTTTTTTTTATAGGATTACACCAGTTCTCTGTAACATGTGTCTCGTAAGAGAACGGCTTCTGTTAATACTGCTAGTTTGAGGGAAGCAGAAAGGGTCCCCTATACAATGTCAGTCATTCACAAACTCCCTTGTGTTGGTCTCTTCTCAATTCACGGTAAGTCAGTTGGGGTTGTGAGAGACAACCACTAGTCATTCCAGAGCAGTAACTATAGACATGAAAAAAAAAAAAACTCTCTCACTTTCATCGTTGCAGGAATCCAATTCCCCTCCTACGGAACGCAAAGCCGTAACAAAAGCAAATAATGAACAGCTTCTACTTCTTTCTTGTCACCATTGCTAGACAAATGTATATGGATCAGCCCAGAGACGAAAAATGCGTCCTTTTGAAGGTTTTCAACGCAAGGCTATTGTAATTTGTCCCACGGATGAGGATTTAAAAGAGCGAACGTTAAAGCGAACTGATGAGGAAGGGAAGGATGTTCCCGATCATGCTGTGTTAGAAATGAAAGGTAGGAATGCCATGGATAACCAAAACAAATGTTCAAAACTACACAACAGATCTGCTTTTGCTGTGTTTTTTTTTTTTTTAGACTTGGAAGAACCCACCCGTCCCTCCTTCTGTTAAACCTTTTTGCCAGATAAAAGAGCTCCTCCCACCTTTTTTTTTCCCATCTCTCCCTGCCCTGTTAACCATATTTTCTTACATTGTCTCTCATGCCATTCCTCACCACTGCAAACCAGCTCAGATAATCAGAATTGAGGATAAGGATTGCTGTAATTGGCTCTGGCTTTCCAATTCACTTCAGCAACCGAGCAGTTTGTATTGGCTGTATTATTAAACGTTGAGTAATTTTTTGGACGGCTGTCCTCAGCTAGGTACTTCTTAATTTGCAAGGACACCTTTTATCATAACACTCTTTTTCTGGCAACTGTTTTTAGTTTTTAATTTTCATTCCCCAAGACCCACCCCCCTACATTGTCCTCATATTCCTACTCTGGGACAAGTGTTTTCTTACACAGCTAAGGCAACGTTTGTCCTAGAGCATGTTAACTTTATCACCACATGCTCTAGTTCTCTCTCTTTTACTCTCTCTGTCCCCTCCCCTGTATTTTTGCTGTCACCATTGTATGGTGCTGATAATGATTCTCTTTGTCTTTTGCCGGTGCGGCTGTTCTGTCCCTCATTGCGTGCCTCTGCTCCCGCAGCAAATTTTGTGCTGCCCGAAGTTGGCGAGTTCCTGGACGGGGTGACATTCGTAGAGCTTCAGCAGGAAGAAGCCGACGCTCTCATCAAGCAGTACATCGAAGAAGGCCGTAAAGCTGGCCCTCCTCCAGAGAAGCGCTTTGATAACCGCCAGGGTGGTTTCCGCGGCCGTAGTAACTTCCAGCGCTATGACAGTCGTGGTGGACCTCAGGGTGGCAGAGGTGGCTACCAGAACCGGGGCAGCTCTGGAGGTGGAGGCTACCGAGGAGGTAAGAGTCCTGAATTTGCTAGTTTTGTGCTTTTCAGATTTGGGGGCAGTAAATTATTATTTTTGTTATTAATTTATTTATTTAGCTTGGACACATTAAAAAGTGACAGTAAAGACATTTATAATGTTATTAAAAAAATATATATTTAAAATAAATGATCGTTTCTATTTATGAAGGAATCCTGAAAAAAAAAGTAAAAATAAATAAAAAATGGCGCTACTTTCATGTCACATCGTGGACTTGCTTTCTCATTTCATACAAACACAACTGCCACCATTTTCCATATCACTTATGGAGTGTACTGAAAATGATCTCAGAGGGCTTTGGTATTAATATTACTGCAGTATCGTTGCAGTGTTTTTATAGGCTAGTGTTGCCAAAAGTACCGACCGCCATACCAGTCAGTACTGAAATTTTAAAAACGTCCATTTCCCGCTAACATTTGAGCGCTGAGAGGATTCTTAAACATTGCTGACTGGCCATAGTGTGAACGCACTTAACAGATATGACTGTGATTGGCTACAATGATCATCACTTCACGATCTTCACCAAGCACTCACACAGAAGCACACGGGAGCGTTTGAGAGCCGCGTCTTTTAGCAGATCCGTAATATATCTGCACATAGACTGATCCGGCTTTCAAATGCGGCTTTCTTTTTAGCCAATCACAGTCATATCTGTTGAGCACGTGAACACTATGGCCAATCAGCAGTGTTTAAGAATCCGTTCAACAGCGTTCAGATGTTAGCTATACCAACTGGTATCGCGGTCGGTAGTTTTGACAACACTAGTATAGGCCGATTTATTTAAACATTATAATAGGGTATTGTTTTATTTGTGGAAGCTTTAGGACAATATACAGGTAAAATTATCAAGTAATTCCGACTCAAATCTAAATTTCATGTCAGCATATTTATATATGGAGAGAAGCCATGTAATAATCAGGATAATGTACAGTAAGCCAGCATCATCATAAAGAAAACTCTTCAGGGTTATAAGTTATTTTAAAAAACCCTGTCTGGGTTTATTTTGCAATTAATGATCGGCTTACTATGCATTTATTCCTTATTTATTGTTCTGCATTGATGGTTAGATTCTGCCTACAAGTTGTTGATAATCAGTCAACTAATTCATTAGGATACAACCGTGGAGGCTACAACCAGAATCGCTGGGGAAATAACCACAGGGATGGAGGTTCTGGAGGCCGTGGTGGATACAACCGTAATCAGCAGTCTGGAGGCAGTTACAACCACAACCGCCAGGGCTCCTACAACAAGAGTGGCTCTGGATCATCTGGAGGCTACAACCAGTCACAGGTATAAAGACATGGCTTACATTATCTAAGTTAGCTTTTGAATCTAACAGGACGTGTAGTCATTGCTTGCATCACATTTTCTAATTTTTTTGTAGCCTCAGTCTTACAGTCAAGGCTACAACCAGGGCTACAACCAGAGCAACTACAACCAAGGGTACAACTACAGCAACTACAGTCAATACCCAGGATACAACCAGAGCTACAGTCAAACTCCAGCACCCGCAGCCCAGACCTACAACCAGCAGCAGCAGAGCTACAATCAACAGTACCAGCAGGTGAGAGAGTCTGTGGAAGAAACTGCATACTAGGGGTTGAACGACTTCTGATTTTTTGAAGTCGACTTTTATGTGATGAAAGTCGAGTCGAAGTCGACTAGTCGCTGATGACGTCATTAATGAACAAATAAGTCTGGAGCTGTGATAAACACCTTGTGCACAGCTACGGCATATGACACAGCGCTGCACACATGACTGTTGCTCCTATAACAGCTCATTTTTAACAGTTCTTTTGTCTTTGGGTCGTTATATTTCTCACAGATTTCTGCTCGTTCTAAATCGGATACAGATAAAGTAGCACAGTAAAGATTACATTAATATGAATGCATTAGAGAGAGCATTGCGTGTCAGAATTAATTCTACCTGGCAGCGTCTCTCTACTAGAAGTGAAGCTGTGGAATTTACTAGTTATTAATAAATATATGCTTGAACTTTTCAGTTTCTAAGCTATTTTATTGAAAAACCACAGAACAGTGTTGACAATACATTTCCGCTCTGAATGATTCTATGCGCGTGATGTACGTGCTACTGTCTGTAATGTGTGTGCGTTACAGTGCAGCAGTGCATTAGATTAGAACGGCGATTAATTTACCTGTACAATAAGCTGTTTAAAACGTGCATTTTCCCGTTCAATTTCGAGCATCCAGTAATATAATCACACATGTTTTGTGGAGCGCTTTCAGAGTATGCATTTATTTGTCATTTGAACTGTTTGGAAACGGAGCGTAAATGTGGAATTCCTTCAAAGATTTCTAATCCTGTTGCGCCCTCTATAGGACCAGCGACTAGTCAACGTCAAGCTTAAAGCGTTATGGCAGATCATTGTAGTCGATTAGTCTGTGCAACCGCTACTGCATTCAGTCACCAGGGGCAGAAATCCACTTTTCCATTAGGGGGCAATATAAATTTAACTATATATGATGATATGGCCGGCAGCCATATCACCCTGCAGCCCAAGACTGGTTATCCACTGAAGCTAAGCAGGGTTGAGCCTGGTCAGTACCTGGATGGGAGACCTCCTGGGAAAACTAGGTTGATGCTTAAAGAGGTGTTAGTGAGGCCAGCAGGGGGTGCTCACCCTGTGGTCTGTGTGGGTCCTAACGCCCCAGTGTAGTGACAGGGACACTAAACTGTCAACAAGCACCATCCTTCAGATGAAACGTTAAACCGAGGTCCTGACTCTCTGTGGTCATTAAAAATCCCAGGATGTCTTTCGAAAAGAGTAGAGGTGTGACCTCGGCATCCTGGCCAGATTTGCCCATTGGCCTCTGACCATCATGGCCTCCTAACAATCCCTATATCTACTGATTGGCTTCATCACTCTGTCTCCTCTCCACCAATAAGCTGGTGTGTGGTGGTTGTTCTGGCGCACTATGGCTGCCGTCACAGCATCCACGTGGATGCTGCACACTGGTGGTGAATGAGGAGATACCTCCTGACAATGTAAAGCGCTTTTAGTGCCTAGAAAAGCGCTATATAAATGTAATGAATTATTATTATTATTATTATATTTCAATGTATTGCATTACCTAACATGCCAAGAACCTTTATGAATTTGTTTGTTTTTTTTACGCATTAGAAAATGAAGACTTTATGTTGGTTATTTTAGTAAACAGTTATTGATACTAGGAATACATTATATACAAGCAAAGAACATTTCTCATCACTGAAGCTATTCCAAAGTTATACATTCTTGCAAAAACTGTTATAATCACTGAAGCTGTCTCCACTGCAAAATGAATCTCTTACTTGCGTTGTGTTTGCACTTTGTTGTTTATGATGAGAGAATTAATTCAAGAGTGCAGAGACTCCTAAAAAGAAATCTGATGCAAAGTGAGCAGATCTAGATGTAGTGCCGCAATCAACCCTTTTCACATTTTAACTTTAATCATGACAGCTGTAATAGATTTAGTTTAGTAATTGTGCAGGGGCATTTTTTGCCCCCTTATCTTGAATGCATGTGCATGTTTTGCATGTATTTTATACACTGTACCTTACTTCCCCCAGTACGCTCAGCAGTGGCAGCAGTACTACCAGAACCAGAGCCAGTGGAACCAGTACTATAACCAATACGGCAGTTACGGCAACTATAACCAGCAGGGCAGCCAAGGCAGCCAGGGCGCCCAGGGAACACAGTAGTAGCATCGCAGCCGTTTCAGACGGCCCATTCCCCTAAGCAGCATTCCTCATGCCTTTTTTGTGCTCCTTCTCTTACCCAGTCTTATCCTTTTTTGCCTGCTCTCTGTAAACCTTTATTCTCTCCCTATTTAAGCCAACCTTAAAGGTAACCACATTTCTGTGGCCCTCCATTGCTCTGTTTGAGTTTTGGTGAGAAGTATCCCTTTTTTGCTCTTCTACTAAATATTTGTTTACATAAAGCTTGATCTTTTTTTTCCCTCTGTGTACTTGTAGATGAGAGGTTCGACATTTGATTTTAGTAATGTGTGGTTTAGTCCGCTGCAAACAGCTCACACTGATGTGCTTGAATGTTTCAAAATAGAGCAGGAGAAATCTGAGGAAGCTTCGCACGCTTAGATTTACATCTGATGTATAGAGTGAAAGAGAGGCAAGGTGTTTCTGTGTTCCAATAGTTTTACCACTGATTTTATTTTATTTTTTATCTTTTAAGATTAAAGAACCACATTTTGCGGTAGATGGTTATGGGTATTGTTCTGTGTATGATCATATGCCTGTATGTACACATCAATGTAAGACCATGTAACACTTTTGTCTAGGTACATCATATTGGAAATTTTAATAACCTAAATCTTGAATAACACTTTTCTGATGTCTCAAGCCTGTGAAGGTTATCATTTTCCTTTTTATATACCATTTTTCAAATGACTCTGATTGGTCTGATGCACATCTACTCCCAGATTAGTAATGATCCAAACTAGTTCCTGTGTGGATATGTTTTTACCTTGTGTCTTGTCTGTAAAGCAGTATCTGCATATGGTTTTGTGTCAAATCAAAACACATTATTTTGTATTTGAGAATATAATCAGACGAACCATCCTGTGTTCTGTGTTCTTGTTTAAATTAAGAATATGTGAAAGATGAAATATTAATTTTAATTTGTTGGCTATTGAGTCGAGACAAAGGATCAGCCATTTTATTCCAAAAATGTTTAAATTTGATTTCCACTATTATTTCCTCCACAATATCCTAACAAACAAAATGCAGTTTGTGATGGTGCAAATAATATTGTGGAAATTTCTGAACATTTAAAAAGGTGACTAAAGGAACAATTCCCATTTGATGCATATATTTCAAGAGTTGGGACATGTTTAATATACTAACCAAATGAATTAGGTAGAATGTGAGAAAAAACAAAACGCAGAAGCACATGAACGCAGAGTTGTGGGCGTGTCAGTGAGAAGACATGTCGGATGCAATATAGATTTGCAGTGTTGGTAAATTTGTTGAAATGAATACAATTATTTTTTGTCATGTACAATAAAACTATAAGTTACATATACAAAATGATATTGTATAATTACCATAGAGTATATAATGATTCAATTTACATCACCATCAATTCAATAAAAACAGAAAAAAGCAAAAACAATAATGCACATTCTTTATTCATCATTTTGTAGATGTAGAGTTAAAAAAGTTTCATTTTATGTAGAAAAGATAAATCACCATCTTGTTCTGACCAAAGTGACTTGAACGCAGCTGACTTTTTTTTATGTAGTTCCATCACATACAAGTACAAGACGAAAAGTACAAGGCAGAAATAAGACAATGTCGTACAGTTTAAAGCATGCAAGACAGAATAACAACAACAAAACAAAATGAACATAAATATAAAAAAACTAATAAAATAAATTTAAAAAATACTAGGACAAAAAAACGGTTTATGTAATATTAGAGCAGTTACATTAATTTGAAAAGCTTTAGAATTTTTATAAGTTTCTTATTGTGTGGTCTCATGTTAGAAAGGGTTTCAAAATATATTTTAAGATCAGTGTTACAAAAGGTAAGATACTGTATGATGGTTTCTTTTGAATTATTTTTGACTTATGAATATCAAACTTTGCTAAGGTAATCAACAGATTAATGATGTAATTTTCTTTATCAGGAAAAATATAGGTTTTGAAAAAGTAAAATATCATGAGGTTCTAAATTAAGGGCTTTGTTTAATTTTTTTTATGTCTTAAAGTCAACCCAAAATGAAATAGAAAAAGGGCAACAGAAAAATAAAAGTTCAATATCTTCAACTGATACGTTACAAGAGGTACATTTATCACACACTGAATATATCTGCTAACGCCTGCCTTCACAGGATAACGTAATCATTTTGTAAAGTACTTCTTTTCTTTATTAGAAATAACATTTATATGATACTGTCCAAATGCTATGCCAAGATATACAGAGGTTTAAGCCATTTTGATTTACATGGAGGATTGGAGTTTTTTTTTTTTTTTACAACATTTGTCAAAAAAGGAGAGGCCATTTACAGAAAGTCGGGGATTTTTTAGGGTTGCATTATTAACATTTACGTCTGAGAATTTGGTTACAATTATTATGCCACTGGGAATAACATGAATTACTTTGTTAAATTCTTTTTCATTTACCAAAAAAAAATATATATTTTGCAATAAAAATTAGGGTAAGTGTATAATTGCCCATTCTTGTCAATAATTCAATACAGAACATTTTGAAAAGTTATTAATGGTATTCAAAGCCAGAGGTAGCCTACGACAGAACTATCACCAAGAAAAACTGTTGTCATCAGCAAGTTGCGATATTTTAAATGCTCTTTCATTCATTTCAATACATTTGAAGCCAGGAATGTTGATTATTAAGCCTACTTAAAACTTGAGCTACTACCAAGAAAAGGAACGCAGACATTGGACAACCTTGTCGGATGCCTAGAGGTAACCGGATAAGAGATAAGAGAACGAACTTCCCAGGAGGAATTAATGCACCATCTGTTACCCAACCCCTCCTGCTTTTGTAATGTGTACAGGTGTACCTTGCATCTGAGCTAAAAACGCTTCAACCTAGATTGATAACACTGCTTCAAAACGTCCTGCTCTGTCTGGTATTTCATGACAGTGTCTGCTTTTTGAAGACGGCCACAAAATGAGGTGGGTTTGCTTGTCGAATTAAAGGTAGGCTATGCAATACACAGTATATATAGCGCCATTATATTTGTATACTGAAACGAGGATGCGAGGGACAGATGTTAGTGCTTTCAATGGAGAAAGAAAAACGTTAAGTAGACTAAAACAAATGTGAAAGTTGTGAGAATTGCGTGATCCACAACATTATTACAGTGCGTGCGAAGACTTGTAAAAAACCACATTCTCATTTTCATCCGCTTTAAAATCAATATGGCATGCATCTAACCTGACTCGTCTACACTGGTTGAAAGGCTTGCCACATCCTGTTAGCAATCAATAATGAAAGTGCTATTTCGTCCAATCGTTGCATGGGGTCTGTATGCAACGATAAAAAGAAGCGCGCTGAGAGAAACTGCCATTGTATAGGTGTGTTTCATTTTTTCCAACAATGTATCCAATATCAGGAACTGAATGCAGATTAACAGCTTGGAAGGGGAGTTGGTTATGGGCCGCATCACATCACTGTTTATTCTGACAACAGAAACAGAAAAATATATTATTATTGATAATTTGTCTGTATTAAAATACAGTATTTGAGCACAGAGTAGGAGAGAACATTACAAACAAATGTAGAAGACTGACGGGCAGAATGCAAATAAGACCAATGGCGTCATGAATATGCAAATTAGTGTGTGATATTATGCAGTGACATTTAGCAAGCTTTTGAGCCACTTTCCATTGAAACAGTTTTTTACACCTTTATTCATATAGCGCTTTTAACAATACAGATGGTGTCAAAGCAGCTTTATATGGAAGCATATAGGTAGCGAAATTCAATTTAAAATGCAATATGCAAAATGGCAATGTATTTCTGTATTTAAATGGACATTTTCCATTACCCACACGTGCAAAGTTTGTTGCAAAAAGAAAATGAAAATATATCATTTACATTTGCCATTTCCGACAGTACGCACCAATAAAACCAATAACTATTACGACCTGCAAAATCACATGGTTTACATCAGACTGTGAAAATGACTCAGAAGTGATTCAAATAGAGTTGTCTACTAAGAAAACATCTGTTGTGACATAAGTGATATTGTTTAAAAGACCTCCAAAATGGCACATTGTGGCATTTATGTGTTATATTGCTCACATTAAGCCATCAGAACGAAAGCAGAAAGAGCAAAATCACGATGAGCCCTAATGTTTTTGAAGTTTCAAGCAAATGACTTGTTCATCTTGTGTGCTATTGCTGCAAATGGTGTATGTGCTGTTGTCACAAATATGCAAAAATGTTCATATAATAGTCTAAATGCATTCTTAATAAAAACTATGCAAAATACAGTCTTACCTGCGTGAGTGGGGTTTAGCCGCACATAATTGGCCAACATAACTTCACGCGCTCCGCATTCCGAGCTGACCACGCCCACCCTCCGTCAGTCATTGCTTCAAGGCGGGGATTGACGGAAGCGTGTTACGTTTGGGTTTTAAACATTTAAGGAGCCAAGCTGCTGTGTAAAGACTATAAATGGACATTACAAGCATTACAGTAAAGATATTTTATACCTAAACTAATACTCAACCATTTCCTGCATCCTGCTGAACTTCCCTGAATAAGTCTTTAAAGGTGTTGTAGGCTATTCTACGGCGTTCTGAGTAATACATTGAAAAAGCTTCCACCTGTATATGACTAAACAAAACAACATGGAGTTTACTTGAGGTTCTGTTATAAATGTGTCTATTAGAAACTTTAATTTAAATTAATTAATTATACAAAAAAAATGTTTGAATTTAATCAAGACTTCCCGAGTTTTTGAACGAAAGTCCTGAATGACTGTTATTAAAGGTCATTTAATGCCTTTTAATGATTTTCAATGCCCCTCAGAAACCCTGCCTTTGTTGGAAAAGTAAATACATTATTTTAATTATGGTTGATTATGTTATAACACTAACAATATTTCATATTGCAGTAAATGTATATATTTAAACATAAATATATTTACAACAGTAAATATTTTTTCATGAGGAGTAGCCTAATTGATTCCACCCAGAGCTTTAATGCTTCACCAAACTGGGCTCAGATCTTTAGACTGGTCTGACTCACGTTGCTGTATCTTTTCTAATTGATCGAACTTACTTTCCATTGACTTACGTTATCTGAGCAACGAAGGCCGTAATACTTAATTCTGTCCACTAGAGGGAGAAACAGAATAAGAAATCTTTTTAGTCTAGGCTATACTCTTTCTCTGTTTACATCAGTTAAAATGACAAATAAATGCATGAATTACATTTGTACTGCCATGAATAGGCCCTATCTGTGTACAAGAACAAGCATCACTCTTCAAGCTGTACAACTACTTAAAGCTTTCCATTCTGGTTTCCTCAAGCCTTCAAAATTTGTTCACAGACTTCACGCGAAGATATTGTTTATTCACACTGTTTTATGCATTTAATTTTATGCATCCAGCTGGAACTTTTATTTGTCATGAGCTCAGCTTTCTAATAGACACATTTATAGCAGAACCTCAAGTAAACTTTCAGTAAACGTGAGTCAGACCAGTCTAAAGATCTGAGCCCAGTTTGGTGAAGCATTAAAGCTCTGGGTGGAATCAATTAGGCTACTCTCATGAAAAAATATTTACTGTTGTAAATATATTTATGTTTAAATATATACATTTACTGCAATATGAAATATTGTTAGTGTTATAACATAATTAACCATAATTAAAATAATGTATTTACTTTTCCAACAAAGGCAGGGTTTCTGAGGGGCATTGGAAATCATTAAAAGGCATTAAATGACCTTTAATAACAGTCATTCAGGACTTTCGTTCAAAAACTCGGGAAGTCTTGATTAATTTCAAACATTTTTTTGTATAATTAATTAATTTAAATGAAAGTTTCTAATAGACACATTTATAACAGAACCTCAAGTAAA